TATGAATGTGTTGGACTGCGGTTGACTATTCGTATTGTACGGCGGGTTGTTGACGTGTCCGGATAGGTTCGGGGCGTGACATTATGAACAGACACAAAGTTGAGAAGAGAATCCATTGCTCCAATGTGTTTGAAATCACTCAGCAAAAAATGTAAAAAAAAATAATTAATGAAATTTAGTTTTTTTTACATCGAATTGTGTCTTTTTATTTTATAATTAATCAAAGAAAAAATTAAAAGGAAAACATTACTTATAATAATTTGATTAATATTTTACTAAATTGATATGTAAAAAATGTGCAGAGTGTAATTTATTGAGCTTACTTATAATAATGTTAACATTACTAAAATTAATTAAATATTTTACTTCGACACGGTACCAGTGAAGAAGCTTAAAGTCTAGGATCTTTGGGTAAACAATACGCAGAGAAACCTCGGCGTGCAAATGCCATAGCACTACAAGATCCAACTACTCTCCTGGAATAGGTAGAATTAGATGACCCCTCTAACACGAAGATTTCAATTGGTGCAGATCTAGAGGTGGAGATCCAGGAAGGGTGGACAAAGTCTTGTTCGCCTGAGGCGCAGAGGACATGACTTAGATTGACCCCAACCTCATCGGCCACATTTTAGGTTTTTGGCCTGATGCCAAGCCAGTGCAACAAATGAAGAGATTAGGTCAGATACATGGCTATTTTGACAATGTTGGCAGATTTGCTTAGCACCCCGGTCCACTCCGGGGTGAGTCGGTGATTAGTATCACTGACAATGTTACCATACGACGCATCCAGCTCGATACGTGTATCACCGACAATGTTTTATATTTGGATGTATTCGAGAAAATAGCATTGACCAAGGTCAACTTAACTCCCCTGCGAACCCCCTATCCAGCTTCAAAGGAGACTGCATTGATGAAAAAGGGACTATTTTCTTGCCGATTGAGATAGACGATGGTCCTCACCACGCGACCATCTATATGACTTCGTGGCAGTCCACCTGAAATGCGTCCACACCACCATTCTAGGATGATTGGATTTTGAGGACCTAGAAGCTATTGTTTAGGGTAGCTCGCAAACATCCCCGCACAGTTTGTGAAGTAGCTTAATGTTCGGGATCTTCAGGTAAACAACAGCGCAGAGATAGCTCAGCTTGAGGACGCCATAGCTCGACTAGAGCTAGCTACTCTCCTTGAATAAGCAGAATTAGGTGACCCCCCCTTCGGCTGGAAGATTTCAATTGGCGCCGATCTAGAGGTGGAGATCTAAGCCAGTAATTCTGATCCTCCTCAAGTACAAAGTCTTGTTCGCGTTGAGGTTCAAAGGACATGTCAGGATTGACCCCAACGTCATATGTCCCAATTTAGCTGTTTGGCCTGATACCAAGCCAGTGCAACAAAAGAAAAGAGATGATCGGAAAGAATAATGCTTGGGTGAAGGGGAAAACACGAGCAGGCCGGCCTCAACCTCTAAAAAGAGGGAGGCCGACGCTCGATGATGAAGATGAAGGGGAAGAATTCGGCATGCAGAAGCTCCTGCATGTCAACCAAAGCGCCCACATGTCAATCAGATAAATGGTGGGCCACTGGAAGGAGACATTGCCGCAGAAAGGAAGAGGTGTAATCGTCAGTTGTTCATTGGGGAAATCAACCATTTCCCGACAGACAAAAAGAAAAAACGGGATTCCATACCGACGAAGACCTTCCGCCTTGCCCACCCCCACATAGGGATGCCCCAGTGATAATGATGGAAGTCATGGACACAATTGTTCATAGAGTTCTAATAGACAATGGAAGTTCGGTGAACATTTTGTACTTGGATATGTACCTGGAGATCAGTCTCCAGAAGGAAGCGGTCTCAAGACGGTAAAACCCCCCTTATCCGGTTTCACAGGGGATAAAGTCGAGCTTGAGGGAGTAGTTGGTTACCCTCACAGTTCATCCCGAATCAAAGCCACATGTGCTACGTTTGCCAAGTGTCTCCAAGGACCATGACCTTTGTTGGAGGATCTGAGAGCGATTACCTCCCAGGCTCATCTCTACACGAAATTTTATACACCATCTGGAGTTCCTGATTTGGACTCCAAACAACACAAAACTCGAACCAACGCTCAATAAACATAACTTGAGATAAAATTGAGACTTGTGACACCTTAAAACTAGTAAAATCATCAAAAGCCGATCTCAACACGCATCAAATGCTTGTTGAAATACGAACTTATCAGCCCACCACCTTTGAAAATGTGTTGGCTCACAGAAGTAATCCAATTATTTAATGTTGCACTAAAAAAATCAGCCCACGTGTCAATAGGTTCTAAACATGAATAAGGTTGATTTTTAAGTAATAAAAGCATCCTGTTTTATAACATCTATAAAAAATAAATTAAAGTATAAGCATTTGAGAGATTAACTGTTTCACAAAAAAAAAACCATGTTTCATTTATGTTGGCCTTTTAAGTGACATCTGCATATAATATGGAAAAGTAGGCTTTCATGTAATAGAGCTAAGCATTTAACATATTAACCGCCCACTTATAATTCAATTGATTTATTTGGAATTGCAACCATTCAACTATCTTATACATAAAAAGTAATTCAATCACATTCAAAGTTTATGTAGTAAAACAAGTAAAACACTATTAAAGATATTAACGATAAATCAACTAGTTTTTATATGGGATTGATATTTGCTTTCCCTAAATATATGTTGTTATTCTAATCTTATACGGAGTAGTATAATAGTAACTGCAGCTATACCCATCACTATTGAAAGTGTGGTACTAAAAAAAGCCAATATGCAAATTTTAAAAGATGATTTTTAAAACAATGAATTCAATAATTTAAAAAAAAACAATGACTTCAATAATTTTAGCTACTTTAAATCAATGTAGTATTATGATGAGTCTGTGTTTAAACATCGTCAGAAATGGACTTGGAGTACACAAAAAATTAATTCCTTAAAACTTTTATTTGTTAGGTTGAAGAGTTGTTGGCACTTTTGAGTCAGGCCCTTCCTACACCATAACATGCATGCATCATGCATCCCACTACATTGTTGCAACCAACATTGATCCACCAACCCCCATGTTTAAGCAATTTTATTGATAAGCTAAAACTAATTAAAAAAGAATTTATATGAAGAATAGGCTTCGAACTAGAGCAATGAAGAAGATGACAAGTGAGTGAATAAGAATGTAAACTCGTGTATTATTCGAATGTGAGCCTCCCCCTGATTACAATGAGGCTATCCTACTTATAGGAAATGTAATTAAAGCCCTAATGATGACTTTTTACGTTACTGACGGATCGATCGCACTTTATGACGATTTCAGATCTGTCATAAAGGCCGATCAATTACAATCAATACCTTCATTAATCATATTAAAGAGGCTAATAATACATAAAGACATTACAATAATTGTCATTAGGTCTTGTGAATGGTCCACCAACTCGAGTTGTCCGTTATGGGCAGTTTGACTTGACGGTTCTGATCCGTCGGTTAACTCATCATTAATGCTTACCAGCTCAAAGAAGTAACCTCTTGCCTTAATATCATTATTAATTACAATAATGAACACAGATCCATTACAATAGCCACCATTAAGCCACATGAACGTATCATTAACTTCCGTGATCAACCCTCTTTAATGCAACATAAACCGTCAAATTCTTGCTCTAACATCCAACTTCATCAAAAATGAAACTCACACACTCAGGAATAGAGGACTTACCTGTTGATTTGAAGCGCAAGAAGAAAGCTTAATTACTTGTCACTTTTCCCACGACTTTTATTACTACAACTGTGTTCATAGAACTCTTGCTTTTATTCTCCATGCACTATCTATAACCAATAAATATTTGATTATTTTTCAAGCAAAACATTTTTGTGTTTGTTATGTATGTTTTCATATAACAGCACATAAGCATGCTACTGTTTGACTGTGAACCTTACTCCTACTATTATGGTACTTGTATATACTCATCTTGGCTGTTTTAATTCCCCACATATAATCTAAACAATAAACACTTTATTGATTAGGATTCCATGTCAGTAAATAACAAACCATGTAGTCAAATATTATATTCATATTACACATATATTGACTCAACGTAAGCCGATGAATTAATATCCCTACTACCATGGCCTTGTGCATAACACGCGTTAGAAAACTAGTTTATCTAATAAGTGTCATGCAGTGACACAATTATGAAGATTATCTTTTATAAAACAAGTGCCATTTAAATCTGCATCAATTCATTACTAATTGTAAACAATTAAAGGGAAAAATCTAAAAAGTAAAAATGATTGATCAATTTTATTAATTGAACTCAATTGCAAGGAGGAGTAGAGTTGGAAATAGCAACAGGCAAGTCAACTACCTATTTGGGAAATAAATCAAGAGTAACTCTTATTTCAGAACTTTCCCACTATTTTAGTCCTATTTATGACGATTACTATTTATATTATTATTGCATTATACTCCGTAATAATTAACACTAACATGACAAATTAGAGAAATCATAATTACTTAAAGGGAAAGTTTCCGAAATAGGAGTAATCAGGTTTTGGAATTTCAAAATAGGACTGCTATATATTTTTCTTACGGAACTAGCTAGGAGTAACATGACAATATTTTTGGAGTCATTACTTCCAAAATAGTTGCAATACTAGACATTTACAATTAACATGACATTGTTTACTATCATTAATGACAGTACTATTAATGATAGTACTGTTTCAATCATATCAATAACGACTCCTATTTCAGAAAGAAAAAATATAGCAGTCATAATATAGGACTCCAATTATGGGAAGAAAAAAAGAAGTGTCATATTTTGGGTCCTATTTAGGACAATTCTTCTCCGTGAAATATGCCTACAAAAATGTTAAAGGTACCTCAATTTGACCTCACCCTATTTTTGTGACTCATAAAAGCAACTTATTAAAGTGGAGCAATTCATTTATTGAAGTGGGCTTTTGTGAGCCACAAATATAGATTGATATGCCTAAACATATACGAAGTAGAAAAGATGACATCGTTGATTTCTCCCCATACTCAATTTTCGTTTATCCCCAAAGAAACACGCAATTAAGATCCAACAAACATAAACCACAACAAACAAACAATATAAAATAAACCTTCTTGAATTCCCAATTGAAGCAATTGCACCTAATTAACCCTTGAGTAACCCAACTTCGACGAGCACCACTATAGAGTAGTGTTTCAAGTAACTGTTACTCCTAATTATTATTGCCCCCAATTTGTACTTTAGTCTTCATCACTTTCATCACCTTCATCATTATCATTTTCTTGAAGCTGGTGGACAAACTACCTTAGTCGGTGGGGCAAATGTCAGGAATTATTTGCCATGTTTTATTAAAATAAAGACATGATACACGGAGAGAGCTAGGGGACACAAACCAATACCCCTCAAGAAGAGGCATTTTTCTTCAAAAAACAGAGCAAATAAGTGAATGCATTTATTGGAAGGGGGTTAGACCTGACCCAATAAATAATGACAAAATAACAGTGAAAAATAAAAGCAATTAAAGCTAGAACAAGATGTAAGACAACTAGATAAATGAGCAGAAGAATTAACTGGATAGTATGGTTGGAAGACCCTTCAGCTCTAGTAAATAAGCACCAAGTACACGATTAGGAAGTTGATGGGGATTCGTAAAAGTAGCCCAACTTCTAAAATTGGAAAACTCCTGAACGAGTAGATGAGCCACCTGGTTAACAACGTCCGTATCATCAACTGTTTAATATTATTGCCTCCAACTCTCCAATAATGTTACCTCCAAGAGTTGATCAAGGCCTTCATCATTTTCACTTAAAGCAGCATAGCTAGTGCAACTCCCATCATCATGATCAATGTCACCATCTCTTTCAGAACCGTCATCATCATCATAATAATAATCATCTACCTGGGTAATGCAACTCCTATCGTCGTCAATGTCACCATCGCTTTCAAAACCATCATCATCATCATCATCGTCATATTCCTCGCCATTATCAGAGATATCGTGGTTATCATCATATTCGTCGTTGTTGGGATGTTCTTGGTATATTTGCTTGTCTTCTCTATCATCTTCCAGTCCCCCGGAGATACTTATGAACTTCATGATGTTCAAGGAATACTTAAGAACAATCACCATTATTATGTGTTTTTATATTTCTAAACTTGATACAATATGGGAGTTGAGTTTAATTGACATGTAGAATTTCTTGATGAGTAATCAAGATAGGTGATCTTGCTGATGTGTGGAGCCGTTTCTATTTATAGGCGAGACTGAGACTCTGAGAGCGAGCGCATAGCAAATATTCCTTACGCTTTTTTGAGAAGATTCCTTGACTTTTTATTAAACTGGCTTTTAATATGATCAAATTGTGTAAAGTTGACCCCCTAATATGTGTGTGTAGGATTCAAAGATTAAAAGATCGATAATGATTCATTACCTACTCTTTCATACTTCAATAGTTAGTCCATAAATAATACTACCTCCGTTCTTAAATAAGTGCAACAGTCAACATTTCACATTTGTCAAGACACAACTTTGACCATTAATATATACAACTCTCTATTAGTAAAAAATTAAAAAAAATCAGATTTTGAAAATATACAATGAGACAAATTTAGTAATATTTTTTTCAAAAATATATATTGACACATCAATAAATAAAATGTAGTCAAAGTAGAACATGTGAATAGTGTAAAATTTGCAATGTTGCACTTATTTAAGAACGGAGGTAGTACGAAGTATGTTAACTAGTTAATAATCGACATACAGAGTATTAAATACTACGGGTATATTTAATTTTACAAAAATGTCACATCATTTTTAATCCATTTTGATGCATTTTTAACATATTAGTGGTCACAAAAAGTGGTTATCCCATGAGAAATGTCAACGTCTCCACTTTTGATCATGTGAAGACGTTGCACAGTAGACTTTTGCACATATGAAACTCCACTTTTTACAAATAAGAAAAACTTTGATTTATGTACAAAAATATCACAATGTTTGAATCCATTTTAGTGCATGTTTGACATATTTAGAACTCTTATATATATATATAGGGAAAAGTTCAAACAAAAAGAGGTGTTCCTATGCAAAGTGTGAACATGTGCACTTTTCCCTCATTGCATTGCACTATTGCATGCTTCCGTTGCACTTTTTTGCGGTGACAAAAAACTTCGGTTTATTTACGAAATTGCCACCACGTTTTTGATTGAATCTAGTGCATTGTTGGCTCATTTTGAACTATTAGATCTAGAAATAAATGCACAAGATTTATTATCACTTTGCATGGAAAGTTCTCTTTCTATTGGAACCCTCCCCTATATATATAGGAGCCGTTATGTGTGTGTGTGCGCGCGCCTGTGTAGGAAAAGATCACATGAAAAGTGTGTCATAGTCTGAGAATTGCGAAGTTTAATTAATAGAGATAATAAGGTAACTTATATAACAGAAATCATAACTTATAAATCCAACAACTCTAAATCAAAAGTATAATTTATAGTGATAAATTCAGGAAGTATGAGATTACAATAAAAAACACTAGTAGTTGAAAAATATTTACAAAAAAAAATTATCAAAAAGATATTTATTTATTTGCCAAGACATATACGAAGTATGTCCTAATAAACTATTAATGCGTTAAACATAACTTATAAAATCAAATGTTTAACTTTTACAACTTTTTAAATTACTTCGCAATTCTCATTTGATCATATATATGATCAAATGAGAATAAAAGGAAAAAAATAGGATCAAATGAAAAGTCTCCATCCCATGAAAAGTAGGAATGAATATGGTGCGTCGAATCTAAGATTTAATGACTCTAAATATGTCAAAAATTCACTAAAATGAATTAAAAATGCGATGACATTTTTGTAAATTAAATAAATCAAAGTTTTTTTCGTTGCCTAAAGTGGATTTCGTGTGTGCAAAAGTGTACCGTGGATGAGCAAAATTAAAGCGGATGACGAAAATCATCTAGGTACAATGATTGATCACAATGTAACCCATTATTGGTGAAAATATTTAAAAGTATAAGTCTTTATCATTGCATTATATTAATTAGGTTTATGATGATGAAAACCATCTGGGTACAATAATTGGTCACCATTTATGATGAAAATATAACTTATACGCAGGGTCGGTCCTGTCGATTTTCGGACCTATGGGCGAGATATTATTTGGGCCTATGTTCAAGACAAAAACTAATCTCTAAAAATCTATCAACGAAACAGGACCCACAAAAAGTTATTCTCTTCACTTAAATCACAATTATCTGACTCAATTTCACTATTTGCATCCTTTGCACCTATATCACTATTTCCAAGCATGTTATGGTTTTCATTCACAAAAGAATTTAGCGGCGATTCAACTTGAGAAGAATCGCCCTCGTCTTACTTAAGGCTGCCTTTTCTAATCTTTGTCTCTTTTTCTCATTTTCCCAACCGGATTCACCCATTTTATCAAACACCTTCACAATAGTAAAACGAAATAAAGGAATTCAATTCAAAATTGCACAATACCAAACATATACTCCGTATGAATTTACCAAGACGCCAAAAATGCATCATATAGAAATCATTAATCATAATTCATAAATCAAAAGAACATTTAGTGGATTTATTATTCATAGCTAATAGATTGGGAATAATTTACTGGCCGTTGTCGGATTGTTTGAAGCCTTGACAAAAGAAGGTGTTCTAGTCGCCGGCCGCTGTTTAAACTCCTCACCGCTGACCGCTTTGGTTAATGGCGATTTGCAGGCTTGCGGCGCTCTCTAATGTCTACTCTTGTGCAAGACGACCAAGACCTTATTAAACCTTAGTCCTTTAGTTCATTAGATAATTGAGCTTAATTGGAACTTGGAAACCACCGTCCAGGAAATTAATTAGGTTAGTGGGATGAGGTGGTTTATGAATCGGGAGTTTGGGAGACACACGGGTTGTACAAAGACTTAGAGCCAATAAATATTTTTGGTAATTTTGTAATTAAAAGAATTATGAAGCTTAGAGATGTGAAGAGACTTAACTACTCAAAGAGGCGTGCCACATGCCTTTTAACCTTTGTTTTAAAAATTTTAAATTTCCAACAAAATTAAACCTTAGGCCTAATTATTTGAGCTTAGTTTAAAAAAAGAAGCCTACTCACACTATATATAAAGACAAATTTTTGGGCCTATTTTCCCCCTCTATTTTTTCGGGCCTAGGGCGGTCGCCCTATTGCACCCCCTAGGACCGGCCCTGCTTATACGCTCCTTCGTATAATGATTACCAGTCAATCAACCCACGTGTTGCACGAACAACGGATTAAATTAATAATTTTGAAATTCTTCATTTCATGAATAATGTATATAGACATATACTTGTATGTTGTAAAAATTAAAATCTCATATTGAACTATATTAGAGTACATGTAAGATTGTTGTTAATTAAAGATAATTGGCTGATTCTGCTGAAATTTATAAAGTTCTTCCTAAATTAGATGGATTCGCTGATTCTGTTGATTTATGAAAGAAATTAAAATGTTTTTTATTAGTAAAATAGAGAAAAATAATATGAAAATAGCTAAAATGATCTTTTAGAGTAACTTCCATCAATACAGAAAAATAACTCCAACCTTACTTTTTCTTATTATTACACAATTTAGCGTGTGAAATCAAAAGTTACGTATTTGGTAAAAAAGTTGTCTGATAAGCCTAATAAGCCGAAAAAGGGTCATCAAAGATGCTATTATGATGCTATGCCTATTAATTAGTTCGGCATGTGTATGTTTTTAATATTTATCTAACAATTTTGTTTATATTTATTGTCTGTATCCTCATTTTACTATTCTTTAATTTGTAACTTATAACTATTAATTAGACTTCTACTGAATCATTGATTATTATTAATTATTGAATATTAAATAATGCTTCATTAATTGTGAGAACAAATGTTTACTTCTTTTGATTCCAAATAGATTTCTATTATGATTTCCACCATATTGTCTTTATTTATATATATATATATAAAGATACATAACAATCACTATAATGTTCACAATTATAATTACGTTGAATTTTATAATGCAGTGATAAAGACTTATACTTCAAAATAATTGGTCACAGTTTACTCCATTATTTTATTTTACTTATGTTTAAAGAAAAACCGAACAAAAGTAACTCTAAAGACAAAGAAAATACACCAATTATTGAGATTTTGTCAAACATAAATGAAGTCGGTGCTTATTTTCCTTTAAAAAAGAACAAGTGCTCATATGGAAGGGTGAAGGGGAAATTAGAAAATGTTTCATTTATTTGATATGAATATTTTTGACTCTAATTTCTTAAGACGATCTTTCACTTTAAATATTAGTTCTCTTTATGATAATGTTTGATTAAAAACATCATTAAATCTAAAAAGAAAAGTACCGACAAAATCTTGACTATGCATAATAAACATAACTTAATACATAAAATAAAACAACTCATCAAATAATTCACCAGTTCACATAATAGCACACAGACTAAAATTAACTATTAAAAACCAACCAGACTTCTTTCTTTTATTTAATTGAACAAACATGTACACATAGTAGTGAACTTACATGTTGGAAGCTGAACTCGAAATACTCAAATAACTGTGGCACCTTGATAATTAACTTCTTACGAAAAGCTCTTCTTGAAACTCTTTTATTATATATAAAGGTTATAATTAGAACCTGCTATGTTCAGGGGCGGCCCTGAGGGGTGCAAGGGGGGCGGGCACCCTAGGCAAAAAGAAGGATAAAAAATAGGCTCATGTTTAGTTCATTGTATTAAGTGTGAGTAGGCCTATTTTTCGGTCCTAGACTAACAATTGTTCGACGAAAAGTCGATACGAGGAACTTTTTCTATTAATGGATCATTAGTTCTTACTCATGATGCCTTACTAAACCATATACGTGACCTTATTCTCCTACTGATTATTAAACTTTCTTTCTGATAAGTGATTTAGGAGATTTTTTATACTTTTAGTATACATGATGGAGATTTAACAACATTAAAGTTAGGCTTTGGATTTAAATTTAACAGAGGGTTATATGTATCCTTTACATTTTATTTTGACAATTTTTTAGCCCAACAAAAGATGAATATATATGTTGTGTGACTTGGAGTTGGAGGGTATGTATTTTTTACCCACACAGACAACTTTCTGAAAATAAAAACCGTAAAACGCATTGCTATCTCTTAAAAAAACATGACGCTTTTGATATGTTGTAGTTTCTGGTCCATTACTTACTATTAGGAATTGAAATTCCAATATCAATTTAATAGTAGGTTTATGTTAGATATTTTTCTTATTTCATTATCAATTTATACTTAAAAAGAAGAGTTCATTCCGAGTTGCAAATTCATTCCAAAGCAATTCAAACTTAAAAAGACATTTGGTTTTAGCATTTTTCCGTTTTTCTTGCACTTCCCAGAATCCAAGCACTCCATTTCATTTCCTTGTAATTCCGAGAAGCCAAATTGCAGTAATAACATAATACCATCTCACATTAATAAGGACATGAGCAATGTCTTCAACGAAGCGGAGAAACAGAAAAACAATTACCAAGATGGAACAGAAGCATCAGCTGGGTGAGAGACGGAAACCGAAAGGTGTGCTGAAGACTACGATGAGACGGCGATGAACGGAATGGAAGGTCTAGGAGGGATGACAGACGGAAATGAAACGGACAGTCAATCTCTTAATAGAGTACAGATGAGAAAACATATTGTACAACTCAACTAAGATAAATGATTACACCAACATTTTCTCCTTCAGTTAAATACCATAACCCTCTTTGACAATTACTATGTACGAAGTATAAGATTGTATCCCTTAAATACCCTAACCCCATTGGCAATTATAAGATTGTACTCGCTCGTATATGATTTATAAAATCAACCAATGATTAACTCTAACATTTTTCATTTTTGTACTTTGTCAACTTAATCAGTTCATAATGAATCGTAAGTAACTAAACTTGATAGAGTAAATATAATGAACAACAAATTTTACTTAAGTTATCATATTACAAACCAAAGATAGTAAACTAATCACAAAAGTACGAAATCATTTTTAAAAAAATTAGTGATAGCCCAAGAACATTCTGATGGCGGCAGCAATTTTAAGGTGTATCCCTCCCTGAGTTTTGCTTGTGTACACATGTTTGTCCTTCACAGAAATTTTGTCTGTCACAGACAACTCATTTTGAGTTGTCTGTGACAGACAAAATTTCTGTGAAGGATGGACATGTGTATACATTTTTACCCCTCCCTCCCTCACGTGAAATTGCAACCCCAGCCTCTCTCCTCTCTTCCCTTTCATTGTTTCTTTCTTCTTCCCGCAGCACATCGACGCCAACACCTCCTCTCATCAAAATAAATGGATTTTGGTAGCTAAGTGAAGGAAACAATCATAGGACGATGCTTCTCGAGCTAAAGGAGAAATTCCGGCAGCTGATGATGACGTAGAAGCGGCGGCAGCCGCCTTGGATGACATCTCTGAGCTTGGTATGAGTGTGTGTTGAGGTTAGATCGTTTATGTAATTGAATTGATTTCATTGGCTTAGCTTTGAACATAAATATATGTTTGTTCTTCAGGGACAATTCTTTGTATTTGTGTAATGTTTGTGTGAAGTGTACAATATTGTTTATGTGTTTGTGATGTGTATATAATCGTGTCTGTGTTTAAAATGTTTTAAATTTACTTATGTCTTTGTGTAAATAAACTTTTATTTGAAATGTTTGTGTGTAAATATAGTTCTGTCTGTGTGTATATACTTCTGTCTGTGCATAAGTATACCAGTGCATGTGTATGCACATTTAGCCTGCATGTGTGTATATATACTTCTGAAATGTGCGTACTTGGTGTGTGGGTTTTTACTAGAGCGGGTTTGTTCTGCATTGGAGGCGTTTTCACTTCCTCGGTCATGGATTGCGTACATAATAATTTTCTAAATCAAATGGTTTTTTGAATTGAATTCTTTTCATAGTTAGTCGATCTAGTATATTTACTGTTATCAACTTTCCATGTCTTTTTTTAACATAATTTGTGGAGAGGATATCGTGCCTTCCATGATCTTTGTGAGTTTTGGCCATTCTTGGGAGAATGATAATGAGTTGGTGTATGTACTAGTACCCTAGAACCCCGTGGTGGTGTATGATTTTCTTTATCCTTGGTACTAGTTTGTTCATTTACCATTTGAGTGAATTTTTCTGGTTTGAATATGCAGGGGATCCTAATGACATGATTAATTGCAGTGCTTTAGATTTAAATTTTAGTTTCATTTAAATGTTAGCCGACCTCAATATCGTTTGGGACTAAGGCTTGGATGTTGTTGTTGTTGTAAATGTCCATGCATGTATTTTCACAGACATTTATGTATAAAGACACAAACAAAGTCTTTGGTCTTCACAGACACAAAATGTGTTTCTGGGAGATATTAATGTCTTGACTACATATATACGTATTTACACTTTTTTTTAAAGTCGAAGTTTTGTTAAATGAAATTTTGACTGTTTTTCATTAATCTTACCGAACTAAATGCTTCAAAAAGAATCTTGTTTAATTCCCGTATCATACTTAACTAACTAGGCAATGGATTACATATTCTAGTAGTTTTTAAACTAGTTATTTAAATAAACAAGTCAAGTTTTTAAAATTAAACTAATAATCTGTAATAAATATAATAAATGTAATCAAAGTCAAGTTTACACATGGGCTCAAGTGGTAATCAAAGTAATAAATGTTTTAGTTATTAAAGATGTTTTTACTTGGACTGTAATTTGTCCCAGACCAGACCAGACCAGTCCAGTCCAGACTAGAGCAGACCAGTTCAGACCAGACCAGACCAGACTTGGATAGTTATAAAAATACAAAGAAACCAGACCTTACCAGACCAGACCAGACCAGTTCAGACCAGACCAGATCAGACCAGACCAGCAAATTACAGTCCAAGTAAAAACATCCTAAATTACATAAAGTAGTTATTAAAAATATCTTAAGTGGATGTAAGAGCGCATACATAGCATAGACAACTACGACACAAATCACAGACAAAGTCGTATTACAGCACAAACAAGATGTTTCTTTTTCACAGGCAAAGGCATCCCTCATATATACGATAGTATATATTAACACCATAAATAGCAAGTGTTTGCCACAAAAACAAAAAGGCATACCAATTCAGGTAATATTTTGGAGTACATTCATTGGACAACATTGTTAGTGTAACATTGTACAACCTCCTACATTTAACAACCAAACCCATGGTGGCAAAAAATGAGCACCAAAAAATGTATATAGTAAGGTTACATCATTGTTTTACAACCAAACTCATCCTACACTAAACATGTTCCTCAAAGTAGTCTAAGAGCCTCATTGTCTAAGTGGATGTTCCTCAAAGTCCAGAGCCTCATTGCAAATTCATATCTTTTCGCTGCCACATTCTCATATGCACACTCGGGCTGCAATGGCAAGATACATTCCAGGAGAGGTATAAATCGATGGAACCCAAACCAAGCATCCCCAGCATATATAAAAACCAGCTACAAAGACAAAAGCCAACATGCCACAAATTGTTAAACCATCCACATTTGTTTTGAATATACAAATGATGAAAGCTGGAAGATGAGAAAGGGGGGAGAACTGAGAAGTATTTGTGGAATAGGAAAAAATGAGAAACAGTCAAACATAAAACCTCTGTCATGAGCAATATCCATTTTGTTCCAGTACCCAGCTTCCCACCAGAAGAACTTTGTTATGTACACCAACATCAGTACAATATTCACAAGCATGGAATCATCAACTTTTCCATATTCTTAGTACTGGGAAGTCCATGATGAACATTAAAAAAACATGATCAATTTTCAATCATCTGCTTTATAAATATGATTTCAAGTTCATTGATATCCGGTCACTGGGGTGAAGTAATCTTCAAGAAATATGCAACAAGCATGTACCACATCACCAAGAGTACCTAAGATAACTAAAAAGATATAAAAAGTTTAGATGTGAAATAAATAGGCAAGTTTTTATAAAAAGTCAAATGCGAAAAATGTTTACTTTATATCATTGTCAAGGATAGTTTAAAAGTTTCACCTGTTTTATGCAGTAAGTGACAGCTAGAACTGCCCAAGACATCATGCCAAATCTGTAGTTTGTGAAAACTTTGATATCAAAGTTTGATATCAACCTTTGCCAATACGAGGATATAGTTCCATCCCCTGCATTTAAAAAATATAGGGCCTTCAAATTACATTATTATTAAAATAATAATATACAGTTTCTTCCAATTAGGCATTTACTTCATTAGTATTTCAATAGGTTCTTTTATAAGTTTTGTATTTAGGTATTCTGTCAATTAACTTTTGTTGTAATAAGAGAATAACTATGAAGAAAGGAAGAAAGGAAACATGAGTAAGGTAATAATAAATACTAGTAATAAACTTGACAAAGCAGCAAACAGTGGCAGCTAGATCGTGAACTCAAACAAGCTTACCCAGTAGAAGTCAACAATTATGTTTCCTAATGAACCAGAATCAGAGGAAGATGGTGCAACATGATCCTATTATAACAGACATATGTTAAGTCACACAGACAAGCGTTCAACTAGATACAGACAAAGAATCAGTCACACAGACAATCATATTACTCACACGGACATATGTAGAGTCATACAGACAATCATCTAAGTCTCCACACACAAATGGAGCCACAACCAATTACATATACTCTGTTTAAACAAGAAATAGTTTATCCTAGAACGGAGTAAAAAATGGGAATCAAGCAATATAGAATCAACTATGGAAGAATTGGTAAAGAAAGGAATTTGATATATGATGATCAAGAAGAAGGATCTTCACAATATGCTTTTGAATTACAATGTAGAGACTGAATGTATGTGTATTCGTCACTGAATGTGCTGATTACATAGAGCCTCTAGATATTTATAAGAGATACATTTAATGCACTTTTGTCCGTTGACGACATGATCCGACCGTTACGACGACATGTCCGACCGTTACGACGACATCAATATCGTCATTATTGCATCATCAATTCTGGCCAGCCCTTTGAGTAACCTATGTCATAATTACAATAACTACTCTAATTATATACATAAAACTGTCCAGATTTAATTAGCTAGCATTAATCCCAATGAATACGTCATTGATTGCCACGGTCAACCATTTCTGAATGTAGTCAAGGCCGCCCAACTCGTGTACCAACAATTGCCCCCTTTTCGAGAAGTTGAGGTGAATGATACTCACGTCCGTCGACTTGTTTCAGCAACAACTTGTCGAAAATTTGAAAGTACACTTCACATCTTGGTCCATTGCATCGTCACATATTGATCAGCTTGTCTAACTTAAATGCTTTCCCTCCAGCATTGTGTTGACGGTTAGATGACAGAAATTTGTAACAGCATTACGTCGATGTCGACACCTCAGCTGGCAAAGGGAACATCATCCGTCGTTAAAGATGACGAGTTGTGTTGCGTGAACATAGTCCATAACCTGCAAAAACTTTGAATAACGTTTCATTTGTAATTTTATCAATATCGTCAACATGTGTTTATGATTTGTATCCATGTCGTTCGTAGTGTCTCCTTTTTGGAGCTAATGTTGTCACACTTCTGTTGCGTATTTTTGTAGTTTTGGATGTGGTTGTTGTTCCACATGACGATGTCATTTGTACGTGTACAACGCTTTGTGTTTGTCTGACTTTGATGTTGTCAGCATTTGTGATGTATGATCTGTCTGTTGTTTTGGCCAAAACATTGTGGAGAATCGGTGGTGTTTATACTCATGTTTAGCGTACATGAAAACCCCACTTCTTCCCCTAAAATTCTGTAAGCCCCCCGTCAATTGTGTCTTGACGTGTTGTAAGGCTTTGTATGTTAGGATTCCGTCATCGTCAATTCTTGACTGTACCTGTGCAATAAATATTTCGCTAACGTCGGCCGTTGGCTAAAAGCCAACGGCCCTCCGATGCTTAAGTCAGTAATTGTGAATAGGTATGTATAAAAAATTAGTCCTCAACATTGCGAAACTACTTAGTCAAATTCACGTCATTTCAACTTAATGTTTCAAAAGTAATTTTGCACTTGTCAAAGTGAATAAATGAAGAAAATATTAAAGTGAGGGGTGAGTAAATTGCTGTTGCATACCCTGATAGTGTCCTGATCCTTTGCTTCATTATTTACTTTCCTGTTCTGATTAGGCGATCTCGGTGGACTTGAAGTTAAATGATGTCGTCGTCTAACTTTTAGTTTGATGTCGTCATTCACCACTCAGTTTCATGTTGTCTATCAGTAAATGGTTTGACGCCTTTAGTCTGCAACCTAATCAGACACGTAGCTGGGGCCTGGCCGTTGGCTTGAAGCCAACGGCCCTCCGATGCTAAAGTAAAATAGTCTAATACTTTTACATTGATTGTAGGTGTGTATTATCTCTAAGGAGTCAGATGTATTTTCATTTGTCAAGGCGGGTGAGTAGATTAAGATGACATTGAAATAAAATAAGAGCAATCTATTGTCGAGTACCTTAATTCAGCTGACTTAATGTCGTCATCAGAAGTCTATATGATATTGTCATATAGGATTTAGCTTGATGTTGTCAATCTGTGACTCGGTCAAATACTTTGTTGGCCGTTGGCTTGAGGCCAACGGCCCTCCGACGGTCAAGTTAGTAAGAGATTCAAAAAAAACATAAGATGAATACTGAAGTAGATAATTATATTAGAAGTGGAAAGGCTTTAGGTGTACCGCATTCCAGCTCCTTAGAACTTGTTTACCGTCAATGCTTGTCAGACGGTATGCCCCCTGCCCGACGACATCTGTAATCTGGTATGGGCCTTCCCAGTTGGGACTGAATTTTCCACTTGCTTCGTTGCCAAAGGACTTTCTGAGTACCCAATCGCCTTTCTTGAATACTTTGGCTCGGACATCTTTGTTATAGCTTCTTGCTACCCTTTGTTGGTAGGCTGCCATTTGTACTTTAGCTCTTTCTCTCAATTCGTCGATAGTGTCAAGATCGTGAACCAATTCTGCGTTGTTTGCTTCTTCTGTGATAAGTCCGTACCTGGATGTTGGCACTTCGACTTCGACTGGAATGACAGCTTCGCATCCGTACACCAACGAAAAAGGCGTTTGTCCTGTGGCATTTTTTGGTGTTGTCCGGTCTGCCCATAATATGAGTGGTAACTCGTCGGCCCACTTTCCTTGTGCTTTCTCCAACCGTTTCTTTAGATTCGAGATGATGATCTTGTTGCTTGACTCAGCTTGTCCATTTGATTGTGGATAGCGTGGTGTCGACATCTCTAGTTTGATGTTGTACTTCTCACAGAATCGTCTGGTTTTGATGCTGATGAACTGTGACCCATTGTCGCAGACGATCTCTGACGGGATGCCAAACCTGCTCAAAATATTTCTTTTGATAAAAGATATTACCTGAGTGTCACGGATTTGTCGGAAAGGTTCAGCTTCAATCCACTTTGAGAAGTAGTCAGTCATTGCCAACATGTAGACCTTTTGTCCGGGTGTTTCGGGCAGCTTACCTACAATGTCCATCCCCCACTTCATGAAGGGCCATGGAGATAAGACAGGATGTAGTGCTTCTGCATGTTGGTGTTGCACTGGTGCATGCTTTTGGCACGGTTGACAAGCTTGAGTGTATGCAATGGCGTCATGTCTCATCGTTGGCCAATAATAGCCAAATCTCAAGGCTTTGTTTGATAAACTCCTTCCTGCCGCGTGGTTGCCACATTCTCCTTCATGGAGACTTCTCAGTACTTTGACAGCTTCGTGTGGGGCTAAACATCTCTGATATGGTCCTGCCTTCGAACGTTTAAACAAAACATCATCAATTAATAAAAACTTTGTTACCTTTGACAGGAGTGCCCTTGCTTCTCTTTTGTCACTTGGCAAGATGTTGTGTTTTAGGTAATCTATGTATGGCTGCATCCAGTTGTTGTCTGCGGTTGACTCAATGATGTTGACCACTTCCGTCCTTTCAATGGCTGGTTCTATCACGTGGACAAGTGGTATGTTATCAATGTTTCCTGCCCCCAGACATGATCCGATTGCTGCTAAGGCGTCGGCTTGGACGTTTTCTTCTCTTGGGATTTGCTCAAAGGTGATGTCGTCAAAGGTGTTAGCTAAGTTGGTGACGATTTGTAGGTACGCCGACATCTTTGGATCTTTAGCTGCATAAACTCTGTTGGCTTGATTAATAATTAAAAGGGAGTCGCATTTTACCTCGATTGCTTTTATGCCCATGTTTTGAGCTAAGTTCAGCCCGAAAATTAGTGCTTCATACTCCGCTTCGTTGTTTGTTGCGTTGAAATCACATCTGACAGCTTGTACTATATTTCCCCCTTGTGGCGACTGCAGTACAACTCCAAGTCCGGCTCCATGCATGTTAGAGGCTCCATCGGTGTGCAGAGTCCATTTTTGTTGACGTTGGTCACCAATTAACAAACATATCTCTCTTTCTGCTTCTACTTGTAGTTTTGGACTGAAGTCCGCCACAAAATCAGCTAGAGCTTGTGATTTCAAAGCTGTCCTGGGTTCATACTTGATGTCGTATGCCCCCAGTTGCATCGACCACTTGATCATCCTACCTGTGAGTTCCGGTTTCCTCATGATAGACTTCATGGGATAGTTAGTGCGAACACAAATAGAATGCGATTCAAAGTAAGGACGTAATTTAATTGATGCTGTCACTAGTGCAAGTACTAATTTCTCTAAGAGTGCGTACCTGGTTTCCGGCCCATTTAACGACTTACTCATATAGTAAACCGGCGTCTGTTGGCCGTCTTCTTCCCGCGTTAGTACTGCACTGACGGCATGTTCTGATACTGCAAGATACAACTGTAACTCATCGCCATCTTTGGGTTTGGTCAATAGTGGCGGTGTTGTCATGTATTCCTTCAGTTGTTGTAGGGCTTTTTCGTGCTGTTCTGTCCATTCGAACTTTTTATTTTTTCTGAGGACATCATAGAAAAGCCGACACCTGTCTGACGACTTTGATATGAATCTATTGAGTGCCGCAACTCGTCCTGCCAGTTTTTGGACATCTTTGATTGACTTTGGGGATTCAATCTCTAGTATGACTCGAACTTGTCCTGGACTAGCTTCTATTCCTCTTTCGCTGACAATGTATCCCAGGAATTCTCCCGACGACACCCCGAACGTGCACTTGGCCGGGTTAAGTTTCAGGTTGTACTTTCGTAACTTCAGGAATGATTCCCGCAGGTGTTCGACGTGGTCTGACGCTTTTTTGGATTTAACCAACATGTCGTCGATGTATACCTCCATAGTTCTCCCGATTTGATCTTTGAATATCATTGTTACCAATCTTTGGAAGGTAGCTCCTGCATTTTTCAAACCAAAAGGCATAACAACATAACAGTACGTACCTGTCTCTGTAATGAATGCGGTTTTCTCCTGGTCGTCGGGGTGCAGTTGGATTTGGTGATAGCCACTAAAAGCGTCCATGAATGTCAGTATTTCATGTCCTGCTGTGGCGTCCGCGAGCACATCAATATGAGGCATTGGAAACATGTCTTTCGGGCATGCTTTGTTTAAATCGGTGAAGTCGACGCATACTCTCCACTTAGGTTTTTTGCCTTTCTGATGTCCCTTCTTTTTCTGCACTACAACGACATTAGCAAGCCAAGTTGGATATTTTACCTCACGAATTTTACCTGTGCGCAATAGCGTCTCGACTTCTTGATTTATGATGTCGTTTCTTTCTCTGGCGAAGCGTCGCCTCTTTTGCTGGATAGGCCTGTGTAAGGGGTTGACATTAAGTTTGTGGGTGATTACTTGCGGATCGATACCCGTCATGTCGTCATGATCCCAAGCGAAGACGTCTTTATGTTCTTTGAGTAGGATTACAAGTTCTTCTTCCAATTGAATCGGCATGCTGCCCCCGATGCGGACGACTCTATCCGGATGGTTTGAATCAATGCTGATGTCCTTTGTTTCGCTGTCATTTTCCCCAACCGGAATAAAGTCGCCCTTTGATTGCTATGCGGATGTTGTAGCAGAAGCGGTCGACTTCATCGCTGTTTGGTAACACGACTTGGCGGTGGCCCTATCACCCTGAATGGACTGCACCCCCCACGGTGTTGGAACATTTACCACTTGATGGTACGTTGAAGGGATCGCTCCCATTTGGTGAAGCCAAGGTGTTCCAAGAATCATGTTGTAAGCGGGCAAGTCTTGGACAACATCAAACTTTACCTGCAAATTAAGACCAACAACATGTACGGGTAGAGATACATTACCGATTGTTTGACTGGGCTCGCCGTTGAATCCGACAAGAGTGGAGCCGGAAGCAGCTAAGTCTTCTTCCTTGTACCCCATCTGCTTCAACGTCTTCAAAGTTGTGATATTGGCGGTGCTGCCGTTGTCAACCAGAACTCGTCTCACCTCGCAGTTGGCCACCCTAAGGGCAATGACTAGAGTGTCATGATGGGCATCAGTAGGACTTGTATGATCTGATTCGTCGAAGGTGATGGGCGCATTTTTCCAAGCTTCACCTTTTCGGACGACTTGGTGTACCTGCGACGACTTGTCTCGGGAGTACTCCCGAGCCTGTCTCTTGGCTGCAGAATAGGTTAGTCCGCATAAATCAGAACCACCGTTAATGAAATTGATTACCTTTTGAGGTGTTATAGGTGTAGGAGGTCGTTGATGTTCTGTGGATGACTTCGGATCTCTTTTTAACATTGATTTCGTTTGCTCCGACATGATTTCCGTCAGATAACCGTTCCTCAGGAGGTAGGCGACCTCCTTCCTCAAAGCGACGCAATCCTCTGTGTTATGCCCGATGTCGTCATGGAAGTCACATCTCTGGCTAGGATCCCGTCGCCCATTGGGTTTGTCAGACTTTCTGGGCCACCGAACCTTGTCTCCCAATTTGTCCAAAGCATTGATAAGTCCAGTTGTAGTGACATTAAAACAATATGTCGGAATGGCAGGCGGCAGATCGTCGAGCCAGGAAGTCGTCGAAGCAACGTGCCGTTCTTCATTCTTCGCATAAGGCTTTCCAGCCCTATAATCATGTTTTCTGGAGGTGCTGGCCTTCCGCTGTCCTCCTTCATAGCCAATCGCACGAAGTCGGGACTGTTCGTCCTCTTCGAGCCGGATGAAAGCCAAAGTCATGGCTTGGACATCTTCAAACGTCTTGCAAGGAAATTTGGTCAATTCCCTATACAAGTCTGAGTCTTCGCGCAATCCTCTTCTGAAAGCTTCTACAGCCGTTGGCGTGTCACATCTCGGAATCGACACTTTCTCCTTGTTGAATCGATGCAAGTAGTCACGTAAGGATTCGTTATGTCTTTGTACTACACGATATAAGTCACTGGTTTGCTTCTCCAATGCTCGACTACTCGCAAACTGCTGGGTGAACAAGTTAACCAGATCCGCGAAGGAGTCGATGCCGTCATTCGGCAAGTTGACGAACCATGTTAACGCTGGACCCGTCAGTGTTGTCCCGAACGCCTTGCACATGCACGCTTCCCGTTGATCCGGCCTGACAGAAATAGCTAACATCCGTTGCTTGTACTGAGCGACGTGCTCTACCGGATCTGTGGTTCCGTCGAACAATTTCATAGGTGGGACTGCGAATTTCTTTGGGATTTCGACATCTGTTATATGTCGTCCGAATGGAGAATCCGCATAGCAAGTTCGTGTTGCCATGTCAAGAGGACGAGGAACCCCTGGCATGCCGTTATACTTTTCTCGCAACTCTTTCAATTCTTGCATGATAAAGGCCAACGGTTCCGCCATGTCTATATGCATCTGGGGACCTCCTGCTCCGAAATATGCTCCCGCCTGAGACACCCTCTGTTCGGATGGCGAACGTATGACGATAGTTTCCGGATGCTGTTGTCTCGGATTGCTGAAGTCGACATCTCCGATCATGTCGTCACGCTCGGAAATGTGTCGTCCTTGATGTTCAGCAAACAAATTGCGAAACACGTTCCTTCTGGGGAGTGGTGCAGGACGAGATGATTGCCCCCTTGCACCTGTTGAACCGGCCAGCGAAAGGGGAATGAAGGGCTCCGTTGAAGTCGACACGGGGATAGGGATCGGCATCTGCTGGTTGACGGTCTGCATCCCCGATGTCGTCGTTTTGGTTCGCAATGAATCCGGGAAGAAGCACATGGGGATGCTTGCTTCTGGAGTTGTCGCTGGGACAAGAGGTTCATAGGGTATGAGCTGCGAGATCGCCGGGACATCTTTAGCATATGGATCAAAGTTTGAAAGTCCCGGGAAAGCTTCGGATGTGAATGTGACTGTTGAGGTTGGGACTGGTATGGAATCTACGCCCAACTTTGATGCGGCAGTCATTACCTCTTTCCCTTTTCGTGATTTTGACGCTATGGACGCCACCGATTGAACTTGGGATCTCAAGGCGTCATTTTCTCCTTGGAGAAGAGTTATTCGTTGACGCATTTCCTCTCTTACGGCCTCTAGCTGGATTTGAGTATCCTCCTTCGACTGGTTAGCCTCCTTGGCCGCACGTAATTCTTCCCGGAGGGCTTCCAATTGTGCCGCTTCGGCACTTTTGGCCGCGCGGAGCTCCTTTCGGACAGCATCAAGCTGCGCTTGCATCTCATCAAATAGGGGATTAGAGCTTCCGGCCATCGTTGATTCTTGTTTTGCAAGAATTTCCCACAGACGGCGCCAATTGTTTAAACAAGAAATAGTTTATCCTAGAACGGAGTAAAAAATGGGAATCAAGCAATATAGAATCAACTATGGAAGAATTGGTAAAGAAAGGAATTTGATATATGATGATCAAGAAGAAGGATCTTCACAATATGCTTTTGAATTACAATGTAGAGACTGAATGTATGTGTATTCGTCACTGAATGTGATGATTACATAGAGCCTCTAGATATTTATAAGAGATACATTTAATGCACTTTTGTCCGTTGACGACATGATCCGACCGTTACGACGACATGTCCGACCGTTACGACGACATGTCCGACCGTTACGACGACATCAATATCGTCATTATTGCATCATCAATTCTGGCCAGCCCTTTGAGTAACCTATGTCATAATTACAATAACTACTCTAATTATATACATAAAACTGTCCAGATTTAATTAGCTAGCATTAATCCCAATGAATACGTCATTGATTGCCACGGTCAACCATTTCTGAATGTAGTCAAGGCCGCCCAACTCGTGTACCAACATACTCATACAGACAAATAACTAGACAAATAACTAGACAAATCTATCTTCACACAAACAATACATATGTCCTTCAAAATGCATAAAATTAACTTTACACAGACAATACAAGAAAGTAATGACATATCTCCAAACAAATGTATATTGTTCAAAATCCAAGCACTAGATGGGTCCAAAACTTCATACACAAAAATATTTTCTGAACCCTCCAAATAAACATCATAAATTGCCGAAAATTGTAAAAAATCCAATGATAGAGGATACATACCTTTCGGCCAGGGAAGAAAGCAAGGTTCACACCATCTTTGACTGAGACGAAATCAACGACTTCGATGGGAGGTTCGCACCTTGGAATGCGCAGCGACGATGGTCTCCTTGGACGGAGGTGTGCGGGGAGGAGGTTGCCTTCGATGGGGGCTTGCCGGGGAAGAGGGTTGGCTTCGTCGGGGGGTTGCCGGGGAAGAGGGTTGGCTTCGTCGGGTGTTGGCGGCGACGAACCAACGACGGTGATTAATCGGAAGACCAAAGCAAAATTGATAGGAGGAAGAAGGCTAAGGTTGCGGTCGTTCAAAGGAAGGGAGAAGGTGGGGATGAGCGAAAAATTTGGGAGGCAGAGTAGTGTCGTACGTGCGAATTGGAAGGGGTGAGAGAAGGGGGTAAATTATTTTTAGGATATTTATAGTGTGTATGTGTGTATAAAATCTGTGTAACAATAGAGTTTTTGGATGAGTTAGGATGTTTTCTTTTGGACTGTTTTCAGTCCCAGACCAGACCAGATCAGACCAGATCAGACTTCCGTAGTTATAAAATACCAATGTTCTAAAAGGCGCTAGGCGCTAGTCGGGCGCCAGCCTAGCGCCTAGCGCCTAGGCGGTTAGGCGGGCGCCTAGGCGGGGGACTAGTCGGAGACATATAAATTGCATTTTTATCTATATTTTGCATAAAAATGTTTAGTAATATTGTATTTTGTGTGTATAAAATACATATATACACATACATTAACAAACATGAATCATAGAATTAACACATTTAATCATACGTAGTATATGATAACTAATCACTTAACTTCATTATGTTATAAATATAAATAATAATAAAATTTAAGTATATATACAAACATATATAGTTTTTATCTTAATTTACAACTTCATTTCTTTATATTTGTGGCTAAAGTTAAAGTACGTATATCACTTAGAAAATAAAAATTAAAAAGTAAAGTAATGTTTGGCGAATCTAGACAGCCTAGGCGGCCGATTAGGCGCTCTGGGCGGGCAACTAGGTGTCATAGGCGGCCGACTAATTCACCTAGACGGCAAACCAATTAGTCGGAGCGCCTAGACGAAAATCGCGGCGCCCGACCACCGCCTAGCGCCTAGGCGGGGACTAGTCGGATGCCTAGAACGATTTTTAAAACAAAGTAAAATACACAGAGAACAGACGTTTATCAGACCAGACCAGTTCAGACCAGACTAGACCAGCAAATTTCAGTCCAAAAGAAAACACCCTTAGCCTACTGAAAAATTAGTTAAGAAATGCTCCGTTGACAATTTACTTCGTAACAAAAAGTTCACTCACTACTCAATTTATGTTTTTCAAATCAAAACTACAAAACAAAAATGGAAAAATAATAAAAAAGTAAAACAAGTGAAAATAATTAGGCAAAATAATAAAAATACTAAAACAAATCAAATTAAAAATATTCAGGAAATATAAAAATCAAAAAATTCAAATAGCTAGTGCCCACTTACCAGTACACCGACCTAAAATAGACTAGTTTAAATCATTCAATTTGAGGATCAAATATTCAAATATTACTAGTGTCAATTTGGGGAAATAATGGCAAGAGTATTAGTCACGCACTTTATATGGATAAAATTATGACCATATTTCAATTTGACAAAAAAGTGAGTTAAAAATTAGAAGTATCCATCGGTCAGTTTTCTTTATTATCTTCCTTACACGCTACCTTTGCATCGGACGAGAATCGTCCTCCTCTGCTCTCGATCTTCGATAATCGTACTCCTATGCCCCCAATCGTCGTCTTCTTCTCCCCGATCGGTGCCTCTACCAACGCGATGTCTCCAGCGGCCAGCCGTCGCCATCGTGCGGCCACCATCGCTTGGCCATCGTCGTCGTGTCGCCACCGTCTCCAAGCCGTCCATTCGCAACTCGCCACCATTGTCGTCGCCTCGCCACCGTCTCCAAGCCGTTCATTCACAACTCGCCACCATCGTCGTCGGCCATGTTCTGATTTGGAATGGCATGGTTGCGTGGCCTTGGCGGTGGTTACATATGTCATTGACAGCGGTGGCCAGATCTGTTATTGACGGTATGCTATGGGTTCCGTTGGGTTTCAGATCTGATGTTGGCAGCTAGGGCTGTGACAAGTAGCGGTGGCATGGTGGTGATGCAGCGCTTTGCAGGGAAAGGGTGGGGTGGTGTTTGGCAGTGGCTAGGGAGGGGCTGGTGGCAGGTCACAGGGCAGGCGGGGTGTTGCAGGGGACAACCGTCGTTGTGGCGGCCAGCTATGGTGTTGGTCATCGACTAATGTGGGCCGCGTCACTAAACGAAACTATCGACACGGGCGGTGGCTACAGTGACACGGGCGGTGGCTACAGTGACACGGGCGGTGGCTACAGTGACACGGGCGGTGGCTACAGTGACACGGGCGGTGGCTACAGTGACACGGGCGGTGGCTACAGTGACACGGGCGGGGGCTACAGTGACACGGGCGGCGGCTACAGTGACACGGGTGGTGGCTGTAGTTACAAAAAAAGCGAACACAGTGACATAAAATTTTTGCAGTGACATCATGTTTTCTAATCACACATATATGACCTTCTTGAACACTTTTTTGCCCCTTTTTAAAAGTGATCACTTTTTGGATAATTGGTTCTAAATTAATAATATTCAGGAAAAAACCCCTTGATACCAGAAGATAAGTTACATTCTACAGCTCTGAGTATATGAGTTAAAGCCATTAAACTATAATAAAACAATTACAAATATAATATTGAAAGGAGAGAGGGAAATGCGTGAGCACTAGACACTATTACCAAAAGAGGGAGGAAGTTTGTTCATCTAACAAGCTCTCTGTTTTGTCTAGCACTTTCTAAAAATTGTAAAATACGGAGTATATTAATACAAAGTCAAACACGTATTGTTAAGACTAAGAGCAGTAGTCTAAATTCTAACCTCCATAGATAACAGTTGGTTTTTGCAGAGTAATTGAAGGCAAGCTATAAGCCTGCTCGTAATTTTACTCAAATTAGTAGAAGCAATATTTTATCAAATGTAAAAAGAGGAAATTCATGTGTTAATGAGAATGCATCATATACAAAAATAACATAAAAGTGTTTATTTAATTCATATCAGGGTAAAATGAATATAGAGATAACACTAGGTTATATGTCATGTGCGGCTGGATGTCCTTGCAATTTCGTCATTCCAGGTGTAAAACAAACATACACAAAGCTACCATAGTACCATAAGCAAATGAAAACACAAACAAACAATTAACATGAATGAAGACCAATAATTGAAATCAGATCAACAAAAAGAAACAAAAACAACACAATAAAACAAAAGGTAACAAAATAGAAAATTTGGAAAACTATCAATTTGGTCGGTCCTCCTACTTTCATGAAAAAATCAATTAGGTCCTCGTACTTTTAAAAAGATCACTCAAGTTCCCTAACTTTGTAAAAATGTTCAATTAAGTCCATTTGCAAGTTATTTGCCATGTCTGCAAGTCACACGTGGCGCATATATGGCAGCTCAATCATCAATAATTTGCTGACGTGGCACACATGTGGAAGCCCGATCAGTCATTTGTTGATGACATGACGGACACGTGGACCGTAATGTGTGCAAGTAACATGCAAATGTACTCAATTGAACGCTTTTACAAAGTTCGGGAATCTGATTGATTTTTTTGAAAGTACGAGAACCTAATTGACGTTTTCATGAATGTAGGAAGACCAAATTGACACTTTTCCCTTGAAAATTATAACTACATACTACGTATAATATATAGTATCCAATGAATATGTGCATATTTAAATTTAGTTTTCTACATTCATGATCCGAACTACACTTATATAACAGTATTTATAAAAATCAATTAAACTGGGTTTAAGTATACATTTACATGTGAAATGAAGAATCGCGGTATTTATAAAAATACAATTAAACTGGATTTCTAGTACTCCCTCCGTCCCTTATTGTTGTTCCATTTGCGGATTACGAGGTTGACCGACGATAAAGTTAAATGATCCCTGTGAAAACTCGGATTATTTTTAGTAAATAAAATTTACATATTCAGAAACTACATTAAACCCGCTACAAAGCCTGCAAAAAATAATTCAACTTTTATAAAATTTTGATATAAAAAGTAAGAGATTAAGAGTGATTTAAGTTGACCAGTGAATAGTAAAATGGAACTTCTTCCAGGGACAGAGGGAGTATGCATTTACAAGTGAAGAACAAGCTTCTTGGGTGACTTTTCCAGCCATATTACGATGTGAGAGGTCTGGTGACACTAGGTTGCTCTGATTTTCTAAGCATCCAATTCACGCATCATTTGAATAACCCATGAATCATTCTGGATTTCATCACTTGTGTTTGCTCCAGATGCACCTCCAAGATGCTCAGAGTGGAGTTCAGCTTCCAATGAATCACGATGGACAGAAACTACAAACAACTATCGATGTCTAGATAAAGGGGTCAAATGGAAAGGAGAGGATCACACCTATATTTTCCAACTAGGCACTTTATTATCTCATCTGATTAATTTTGTCATATCAACTTATTACATACAATTGGAATCATAAATTAACAACAAACAACTAATCTAAAAAAAACACGGAGCAACACAATGAAACACAACGCAACAAGAAAAAAAACAAAAAGCAACATGGGGAAACAAACTGAAACATGGCGCAACAAGAAGAAACAAAAAGAAACATTGCAAAGTAACAAATAGAAACAAGAAAAAATAACATATAATCATATCCAATAACTACATATTTCAATTCAGTTATACACATACATGATGTGAAATATAACTATAATTAAAAACTATTTTTATGGAATTTAAAATCATTACAATGCATACACTCGACTTCATTATCCACATTTGTGTAGATTAATTTCCATAAGCGCTGAATTTATTCTAAAATAAACTGATGCCCTGTCGATAGAGTATGTGCACAATTAAACTCTTCCTTTTTGAAGTTCTCACTAGCATTACATTCACAAAAAAGGGTCACAATAATGAGATAAGAATATGTGATATAAGATTCATTCTGAAGAAACTACTAAACCTTGTGGAGATCATAATCACCCACATTGATGCCAATACTGAAATCATATCTACAAAACTTGTTGGCAACACGATCATACCAAATTGAAACTTGCTTCTACTAGAATAATTCTTGAACATCTTGAATACTTGTAAAATCGGAATAAAGCACTTGCAAAGTAAGAAGATAGAATAGTGCAACAACAGAAGTAGATTTAC